TATTCGGACTATTGTCACAGTGGATAAAGGCGTTGGTTTTATCACTGGATCTAACCAACGCCTTTATCCACTGTGCCATGTGTCCTCAGGTCACATGTCACAGTGGATAAAAGCGTTAGCTTTATCCAGTGACAGGACCCAAAGAGTGTGAGTTCAATACCCGGTTAAGGCGGTGGAGGGAAATTAACAGGAGATAACTGATAACTGACATCTATTAAACATGACACGTAGAACTAGAACAGTCTACCCCAGTGAGCGAAATAAAGGGTTCAGTTCGACATTCTAACCACTTGAAGAAGACCGGAGCGTACAACGGCCGAAACGTAATAAATATGGCGACAAAGATGAGGATAATAGTCCGAATAATGTACATAATACCGCATCTAAGAAATATAGACAGAACGTATAATAATTATAACAATTTTAAAATGACACAAAGATCGCATTCGTCTTTTTTGTGCAAAATATATTTTTTTTAACTCCCTACCAAATCTAAGGTCTTTTGCCAAACACACACTAACCTAGTTAGTCAGAATAGAAAGGGAAAAGAGAACTTATGCTTCCCTGAGATCAAAATAGACGCAAATGACAAAATAAGACTCAACCACTGCATAAAATTTTAAAGGAAAACATTTAATAAACATGTAAAAGACAGAAAACGTACAATACAAAATTTGCACCAAAATTTCCTTTTTGTGTGCCTATTAAGGTATACCTCTGTGCAAAGTAATTTATCCCCTATCAAATCGAACTTCTTGTGTTAAACACAAAAACATAGCTAGTAGGAATAGCAAGTCATAATAGGCGTAGATCACAATATATGACACAACCGCTATCCCCCCCCCAAAAAAAAAAGAAGTTCCAAGAATGCTTCCATCAATGAAAACTATGCTGGATATAGTGTGTGGCTTCGGAAGAGGATTACTTTGAAGGAGATTAAATACAGAATTGATATGTGGTGGAGTTTTCTTTTTATAGCACCAGTAGCAATACTTTTTTTTTTTTTTTTGGTATGTACTTAAGATTGAAATGATTAAACTGAAGCGAGAAACTTTTTTCTCGGTATAACATCCTTTTTCTATTTTTATTGTTAATACTGGAACAAATTTCACAGCCTCACATCGATACTTAATTTTCTTTCAATTCATCATGAGGCCAAATAAGCAAAAAAAAGGGAATACGTCGTAAAAAGATAGGTTTGTGTTAGACATCTAAGTAGGGAAAGTTTTTCCTCACGCGTGTACTCTGCAAATGGCCGCCAATGCTAGTAGGGAAGGCACAACGATCAAAAAGGAACAAAACTGGATGCTCTCTCTAGGACTCTTTTCATATTACCCCTAACGCATATGCCTTTCCCCATAGAGCTTCTTCCCCGAGTTCGTGTCCACGCCCTTCCCACCGCATATGGAGTCTCTTGCGCGTGTGCCTCCCCATGCATCTCGCGTCGTATATGGAGCCTCTTGCGCGCGTGCTTCCTCATGCTCCTCCCATCGAAAAAAGGTGCCGCTTCCTGTGTGCCCCTCTCCACATATAGAGCCACTTGCGCGTGCTTGTCTCCACGCCTTTCCTCCGGCATATAGAACATCTTGTACGTCCTCCTTTCTATCCCCGCCCAAACACGCTTTCTGCCTTGTGTCCTTCTCTTTATGTGAGGATCTGGATAAACACCTTTTGTAGATTGTATCCTACGGTATACTGGTCTAACCACTGAACTGACGCTCCCATTGTTTACTTATTCATTATTGTTCAAACGTTTTCTGCAATAAGTAAAGCTTTCTCAGTTGAGAGATTTTTTTTTTCTTTTCTTGAACGGTTTGGAATTTAATACCTTGAATAACAGGATGTCTGTACCATTGACTGGTTACATAAAAAATGACACTGACCTATTTTATTTTTCACTCCGCAAGTTACTTGATCATTTGCCGCGCTTCGACCCATAGACATTGGTGATCATGAAGCATTAAGTTTCAATTTAAGTGTCAGGTTAATATTAGTCATTACAGCAAAAAATATCCCGGGGGTGAGTGATTGGGCGGCACTGCGATAAAGAAATAGCAAGCTAATCTTTCGTGGCGTTTGGGGTGCAGCACCTTTCTGTTTCTGAGCTCAGCTTGTATATACTGTTTGAGGTGTTAGTGTTTATGGATTTTAATTTTCTAGAGACGTTTTTTTTTTTTTTTACTTTTCTGACCTCCCCACTAAGGCAGGATGTGATAAAAGATCTTTTTTTTATCTGAGATACCCATGATTATGTATATGGACCAAAAACAAAAATGGCCAAGTTCCGGCGACTACTGTCACGCGCGCGTCGATATTAAGCCCCCCCCCCAACCTCTCTTAGTGCTACCGCTGGGTTGGTATCACCAAGACTGAGTGCCTTCTTTTATCTAAAATGAGGAGAGAACAGATACTACGTTTTGATCCCAGCCAAAAGTGACGTTTATGATATTTATTATCCACCAAAAATCATGCTAGCTTACGAGTAATGTTGTTTCAAACATGTAGTAAATTTTAATCGAGTAAGGTGACCTGCTAAATTCCTCCTTAAAATATTCTATTGCTATTCTGGTCATCTTATTAGCCATGGATTTTGGAGCTTTGCAGCGGACCACTTCCTGCTTCACAAAGGCTGCCAAGCTTTTGGGACTTGAAGTCAGTTTAAAGAAGGCAGAGGTACGAGACCTGCGCTTCGGGATGGGTATCGTCCTCCCCACATCATCGTTGGCGCAACTGAGCTGAAGGCAGTCCATCGGTTTACCTACCTTGGATGTCCCATCATATCTGATGCTGGGATCGACAAAGAGGTCATCAACAGAATGGCATGGGCGAGAATTGCATTTGGCAGACTGTACAAACGTGTTTGGTACAACAGACACCTTAAGAAGGGCACTAAGATCAGAGTGTATAGAGTTATCGTCCTTGTCACTCTCCTATACGGCTCATGGATCACATACCAACACCACCTGCGACTCTTCGAACGGTTCCACCAGTGCTGCCTCTGCACAATCCTTAACATACACTGGAGCTACTTCGTCTCCAGTATTGAAGTTCTTGAAAAGACGAAGATCAGAATTGAGGCCATGCTGGGCTGGGCATGTTTCCAAGATGGAGAATCATCGCCTGCTTAAAATGTTATTGTACGGCGAGCTCTCCACTGGCTGTCATGGCAGAGGGACACCAAAGAAGCGATTCAAAGATTGCCTGAAAAAATCCTGTCACATTAACTATTGTCAATGGTCAACCCTAGCTGAGAACCGTGACGTCTGGCATCTCCCCACCAACCATGCTGTCTCCTCCTTTGAAAATACCTGCACGGCCGTTCTCTGGGACAAGAGGCAGAGGAGGAAGTACTGCAATGCTATGCCACCAAGCCAGACTTTTAGCTACAACTGCTGCGACCAAGTATGCCTGTCCTGCATTGAACCTCTTAGTCACAAACGACTGCATGCGACATGTTTAGACATCCTCGTGATCTTTGTTTTGCGAAGCCAAGCCATGAGTACCCATGGATCTTAAAAGGTTATCCAATGAGATGCTCTCAAAGGATTCAAAACTGGTAATGAGAAGGTGCTGTCGAAAAGTTCTCTGGTACTCAGAGATGTCTGCAATTAAATTTCTGCTGCGTTCATTGAATTAAAGTAGCGGAAAGTGTTTAGGCATTCGTAAGAAGACATCCGGGGTTATTTAGGAGAGAATAGAGATATATACGGTATTTATCATGTAAACCACGCAAAGGTTTTTTCTGTATCTACCATCAAGTCCTTCAAGATTATGGAATCCTCTATACTTGTATGTTCCCCAAATTAACCTTTAACCAATCACCACTTCACTTTTCCAAACTCAACTTCCCATTGGTTAAAAGGACACAAAAATGTAGCAAGTTGAGACAAATCCTTTTTCCCGTGCAGCTGTCTGGAGCCTATTTGAAAACCCAAAAATCTATAAAAAAGAATCGCTCGACTTGATTCAAGTCAGTCAGACACTGAGTTTCGAGAGATGCCAGCAGACTCTACGCATGCCAACACACTGACTCAATAACACTACAAGTCTCCCATCAACTAAACACAACTTGCACTACTATTGCCGAGTGAAGAAACTTACAATTTACTAAAGTGACATTATCACTACGAAATAGTAATTGTACATTTAATCAATTTTAGTATATCAGTCAAAGGCACACAACTCTTCATAACTTGAATCAACACTTACAATTGTCACGCACATACACACTATTATTTGAACTCACACAATTGACATTTTACCTTGCAGAAATCAAACTGTTTTAATTTCATTAACAAACTTAAACCAACAACAATCAGTCTCCAAATCTCTACATGGACAGTCTCTGTAATCTTATCTCACTTGCCACATTTAACAAGCAACCTATCATCACTTTGTGTATGTCAAATATATATATATAAATTCATGTTATTGTTGAAATCTATAACTATGTTGATTTTTTTTTCCTTGATTTCTTCAAGTTGTATTGTCTTCATATGTTCGTTTAATTTATTTGTTGCGGATAAATGCATAATGTATGCGCACATTTTAGGCCTTCACACAATTTCACGTTCTGACACATCTTATTTAGCATAAATTCTGCAACAAGATCTTCTCTCTAATCTTTTAGCTTTGGCCAGAAGAGCAGTTTGATGGGGAAATATTCCAAGGTTCTATTCAAATTGCTTGGAGGAGAGGGCATTTATTAATGTAGCACCCCCACCAATTGGAAATGGTTCTTAAAACTTCTAAGATGATATAAAATTTGTTACTTATATTAGATTAAAGAGGCCTGTTAAAATTGTTAGAGGAGAGGTGGACAAAACAATGTGAAGTTCCATTGAAAGAACTATTTGAAAATAATCCATCTCTATCAATGCCAGTCTATCACCTTGATGTACCTGATAAGTTTTTAATGAGTAAGATTTGAATCTTTCCTGAGGTCTGCAGTAACTCTTAGGGGACATAATTTTTATCTTCTCTGTTGGGATTCAGAGGCTTATGGCCACATCATGCTGAATCACCATTTCCCATACGATCAAAGTTAAGCAACGTCGAGCCTGGTCAGTACCTAGATGAGTGACTGCCTGGGAATACCAGGTGCTGTATGCTTGGATGTGCGGCTGGTGTAATTTATAATTGTTAATAGGAGAGCTGAGTTCCAATTCCTGCTGGGTTCGTTATAGCCATTTACGAGCACATAGTCTTTCTTGGGAAAGGTATGAATCCATCTCTTTCCCTCCAGCTATGGGTTAATTAGTAAGGCATGTTTACATTATTCGGACTGTTGTCCTCATTTTTGTTGCCATATTAACAATGTTTCAGATGTTGTACACTCAGGCCTTCTTCAAATGAGTGGAATTTTGAACTGCAACCTTTATTTCATCCACTGGGGTAGATTGTTTTAGTTCCACATGCCATGCCTCTTCCAGATGTCTCGGCATCAGTTATCTCCCTTTAACTCAATTCTCCAAATTTTTGTTCACCTCAGCTGTCGCCAGGTATTGAACTCACAACTCTTTGGGTTAAGTCACTGGATTCAACCAAAAATGAGGACAACAGTCCGAAGGATGTAAATAGTGTAAATACATCATCTCGGAAATACATACACACACACGTGTGTATGTATTATATATATATATATATATAATATATGAATGAATGGACGAGTGGTTAGAACATTTGCTTTCTGACTGTGAGACCCGGGTTCGAATCTCACCATGGTTGATTTGTCAGGTTATCCCTCTGGAGAGAGGATAATCCCAGTATGTGGCACCTTTGGAAATTGGGTAGGTGAAACACTTGTTGCCATCGATAGCTGTGCTAGCATGAAGTCATAAGGATTTGAGTGTGCTGATGTTGTTCAGATTGTTGATCATTCTAGATACCACGCTCTCTCCCAGAAACTGTAACTAAGGTCTGCTCAGCATAGTTGCAGTATGAACCACAGGTTGGCTCTATGGGTGTTGAATAAACACATATATGCCTGAGCGAGAGTCTGCAATAAGGATTGGCTAGTTGCCCTATTAGACAGGTATCCTCGAATACAAGTGACCAGCTATTTTATATATATATATATATATATATATATATATATATATATATATATATATGTATGTTAAGACTTGTATCACTAAACTATTATTATTTAAAAAAGATAATCTTACAATATAAAAGTCTTCTGGCTTTTAAATAACCTGCAATAGGTTGTAGAGAATGAATGAACGAATCAATCAATCAATCAATCAACAAGTATCATATTGTCTTGGGTATGATGATAAACTACATCCAGCAGCAAGGCCTCTGATCAGGAGGTTTTGAGGAGCATGGAACCACCTCTTAATTGCTGTTGTTCCCGGGTTCACTCTGACCTGGGGTGGTAGCACCTGTTAGGGTTCCAGCTATGGGTAAATAGTTTTCCCCTTCCCTTGATCTGGAGTCAGAATACTAGGAAAGTGTAAGAATGTTTTTTTTTGTTTTTGTTTTTTTGTAATAATATCACCATCAACACAAATTGCAGTATATAAAGTGCATATTCGCAAAACCTGATTAAAAAAAAGACAAACAAAAAAAAACTAAAATTTCCCCTAATAGGGGCCACCTGTTTGCCATGGGTGGCAACCTGTGATGCCTGGGGACAGTCCTGGTGACTGAGTGACTCCTGATCTAGTATAAAATGACCAGGAGTTTCCACAACACGTCACTTCAGTCCCTATCTGGGATAGACGGGCGGATGGAATAGTCCAATCCATTCCAATCAGCTAGTCCCATAGTGGCAAGGGCTAGTTGGGTTGATATATAATGAGTCTGACAGGGCCATGAAACCTTACATCATACTATAATTGGGTAGATATGGTAGGGGAGTGCAGGTGCTCGTATCCACTCTCATCACAACTATACTGCCTGTGTAGCCCTGGTGAATTAGGATGAAAGGGATTAGTCCCCCCCCCTTAAGAAGAAACTCTGAGGTGGGTGGGTGCACAGACAGCAAATACAAAAATTAAAATTATATGGCTATCTCTTATAAGCGAACTAAGAGACAATATGAGACTTCTGAAAGTGAAAATGAAATAGAAAAAATCAATTTCCAACTTTTATTGTTGTAGAATCAGTAGAGGGTGATATATCAAAAGTGTCTCCTTTCGTGTTGCAAAGGGTTATTTCAGACCTGATCAAACCACAATCTGTTAAATAAAGAAAAATAATACTCTATTAATTCAAGTGATATCCAAAAAAGTTGCAGAGAAATGGCTAAAAATCAAGCAAATTGACAACAATAAAGTTGAGGCCTACCCCTATCAATTTCTTAATTCATCAAAAGGAGCAATAAAATACCCAGAACTGTCACTTTGTTCATAAGAAGAAACTGAAAATGACAACACACTAAAAAAGCAAGAAGTAACAGGTGGTAAAAGAATGCAAGGAAAAAGAAATGACACAGTAATAAACACCAACATATATATTTTGAAATTCAACAAACCAACTCTACCAAAAGAAATAAAGATAGGGTACACAATAGCCAAGGTAGAGCCATATATTCCTAATCCCCGTAGATGTCATAAATTTGGTCATCTTCAAAAATGTTTGTATGAGAACAACAGTCTGTCGAAGATGTGGGGAACTGGAAACTGAGCATGATGAATCACCTTGTGAAAGGCCTCCTTTATGTCCAAACTGTAAAGAAAAACATTCAGCAGACTCCAAAGAGTATAACATTTGGAAAAAGGAAATAATTAGAAAATATACGCAAAATATCTCATTCCAAGAAGCCAGGAAACAGGTTGAATCTAATCCACTTCAAGCATCATATGCAAATATCACTAAAATATCAAATCAGCAAAAAGTCATCCAAGAAAACAATTCATTAAGAAGCCAAGATAACGCTTATTAACGAATTAAAAAGTTTAATAGAACTACTAAAATGTAGTATATCACTCATAAATCGAACGCCCATAGACAAAAAAAAAATCTTGTCCCGTCAACCTCAAACAAAAAAGTCTCTACTTGTAGAAAACAATTAAATCCGAAAATTCCAAACCAAAGTACAAAAATCCAAGAAATAGAAACCTCTATTCTCAAGAGAATCAAAAGGTACATAAAAAAAATAACTCCACTTTTAGTGAAGAATCAAGAGAAATGGACATAGAGGAACAAAACTTTAGCCCATCACAAACAAGAGAATGGACATCATCTATATAAAGATCATTAAAATAACCTAATAGAAAAACAAACCCTATACCGTCAACCGCAAACAAAAATGACTCTACATCTACAAAACTATTAAACCCCAAAAAATCAAAACGAAAAAAATAAAATCCAAGAAATAGAAACATCGAAACATTCTCAAGAGAATGAAAAGATACAAAAAAATATAACAAAACAATTATGGAAGAACCAAGGAAAATGGACATAGAGGAACAAATCTCTATCCCATCACAAACAAGGGAAAGATCATCATCTAGACAAAGTTCATTAAAAGAACTGAATGGTAAAACTAAGGGAGCAAAATCAAAGAATGTAGAAACAAAAGAAGTTCAAAGAACAAAACATAACAAGAAACAAAACGCTAATAGTCAGAAGTATATAGAAATGATGGACACTTCACCCATATAAATAAAAAAAAAAAATTGGACACGTAAAAATTCCTAATTCATAGTACATAATCAAGATGCAAAACCTTATTTTATGGAATTATAACTGGGGTCAAAACACTATGAAAGTGTAAAAATAGGTTTTAATACCAGAAATGCTTTGTAAATGGTTATTACCAGCAATATATTTTTGAAAACCAAATGTTGCCAGCAATGTATTTTTGAAAAATATATATTACCAGCAATACATTTTTTGCAAAAAAAAAAAATATTACCAGTGATACATATTTGAAAGAAAATTATTACCAGAAATAGAATTTTTGAAGAAAAAAATATAACCAGAAATAGATTTAAAAAAAAAAAATAAATAAATACCAACAATAAAAATTTCATCGGCATTAAATAAGCCATTGAGGTTGATATGCCGTAAAACTAAACGAAACCCAGTATCATAACCATGAACTTAAAGCACTGGACTCACAGGAGAATGGGATGCAACATCATCATTGATATTGATGCAAACATGCTTTATTTCTTTGAGTCCATGTGTTTCAAATGTTAACCAAAAATAGGCACAGTATAAATGATTTAAGTCATATCTTTGCTTCATGGAAATCATTGAAGCAAGGCGATCAAAGTACAACTACCTTACTCCTACTGTTCAGCCAGTACATTCTTTAACTGCGTCAACTGAAAGTTGAAAATATAGCCTTATTAATCATGGTTAGCAGCAGCTAGTTGTTCTAGAGGACCTTTATTTGGATGACTCTCACAGAATATTCATTTTACCACAAGGGCATTTTTATTTCAGAAGTTTACAGAAACTATAGCAATTTTTGTAGGCATTACTTTTGATATAAAATTTATTTCATTGCTTTTTAAATGCCTTGATTCTTTTGTTCATTTGATTTGCATTATTTCTTTTCTGAAAGTATTTTTCTCTTTGCTGCTCAAAGATGTAGAATAAGGTGAATAATTAATTCTTTCATTTCGGTTTTCTTATGATTTGTGTTTCATACTTAGTTACATATCGTGAAGCTTTGAATGCAGTGTAGTCATGCCTGGTGTCCAATCCATTCAGAGATGTCTAAAATGATTGCTGTATACAATCACTTTCTCAGACTAGTGATTTAAAAATGGCTTAGAGTTAATGAACTCTGTAGAGCTTCAAACCTTATGGATTGGTTGTACAGAATCCTAAAGAGCTGTACTAAATAATAGATGGCCCATCACTTAAGGACTTTCAACAGCAACAACAACTAAAATGGATAGCACATGATATCAAGATGTTGATCTTCAACACTACTTTAAACCAAAGGTTAGAAAGAAAACTCCCATCATTACTGAAAAGAGTGATTACAGTGAACTTGAGAAACCTATTTTACTTAAAAAAAAATTGTTTTAATAGAAAGATTTTATAAATTTTAACCAACATTAGTACTAGCTGCTCATTCAATGAATGCCAAATGTTTCCTTATAAAGAAACAGTTAATATTACTATTGTCTGAATTTCATAAAT